ACCTGGAGGGCGGAGAGTGCATGGAAGTAGAAGTGGGTTCGTTACGGGGGGTGACCAAGAATGGCGCTTGGACACTGGGTGTATGTTCTTGTGGACGTCGTCTTGCGTGTGCTTGTGGATGCGCGCATTGCTCCTCGTCTCGTCGTTGACTGACCCGGTTGCCCCCCGCCCCCCCGAAACAACCACGAAAAACGCCTGCAACACCAGTATGAACTTCGCCAGCCCCGAGGTACGAAAGGTGCGGCTCACGTACTTCGATGCGGGGGACAAGGTGCAGGTCCTGAACGCCGTCATCTACCCGGACCCGTCGCTAGACATGCCGCTGCTGGGGATAGATCTCATCTCCTTCGGAGGCAAGCACCTGGCGGGGATCGACTTCCAGCCGCTGTTCGACGATGACTCTTGTCGTAACCGGTGAGATTTTGAAACCGCTCGTTTTTCTACTGAAAGCCATATTTATTGAAGAGAAAGAATGAAAATCCGGACCATATCTACTGTTTCTGCGGCGATTGGTTTTGCCTTTTGCCCCACGGGTACAAGTAGTAAACACAGTACGCTTGGTTGTTCTTATCGGGAGTGTTGCGTAGTCCCAAGTACAGGGGTGAGACTCGAACACTAACCGCCATGACGACAGCATGATGTTTCCCATGGACATCCCTTGTTCACTTGCGGGACGCGATGCCTGCATTTACGCACATGTATCGCATGCGGTGTCTAGCAGTGGTTCACAAACCCCTCCTCGATGATGTGGCGCTTCGTGTCCATGTCCCCCAGGTACTCGGATAAGCTCGCACCCATCAAGGCGAAGTATCCGGAGTTCGCCCAGAAGATGTCGCCGCGCTTCTACGACAGCGCGCGATTCTTCAGTGAGGAGATGCTCTTCGGAAGGTGAACGATCGTTGGTGGCTGACTACCCCGCTCCCCCTCAACCCCAACACACGATCTTGTTGGTCTTTACTTTACTCATAGACCCCTCCAGATGTGTTCTCTCGTGTGGTGCTTGCTGCAGGACTGCAACACACACTACATTTCCCCCCCGTTTGGGCTCAGCCCATCACCGTCGTCTTTCACCACACACTTGCGGTCCGCCGGCACATAGGCCCTATTCCTGAGATCTCTCTTGCGTAATACCCCCCCCCCTCCCCAAAAAAACACCACCTCAGATACGAAGATGAGGCCATTGTGGACGAAAAGCTCTTCCCGGCGTTCGAGGAGTACCTCTCGCTCTACATCTCCGACCTGCTCAAGGCCGCCGAGGAGGGCGGAAACCCCTCGCCGGAGGCCCGGGCGCGCGTGCTGGACCGCCACCGCGCGTACGACCAGTACAACGCGGAGCGGGACCCGGCGCACGGGCTGTTCCGCACCTACTTCGGCGAGGCGTACAGCGAAAACTTCATGGACAACTTCCTGTTCGAGCTGAACACCAGACCGGCGGGTGGCTACCCCAAGGGCGCGGCTCGTGGGGGAGGGGGGGGCGCGAACGGTCGGCCAGCGGGAGGAGGCAACCCTCA